ACCACGCCTGGCTAGTTTTTGTACTTTTCTTAAAGACGGGGTTTCACAGTGTTGGCCAGGCTGGTCTGACCTCAGATGATCCACCTGGCTTGGCCTCCTAAAGTGCTGGGATTGCAGGCATGAGCCACTGCACCCGGCCTATTTTTCACTTTTTTTTTAGAGATGGGGTCTTGCTGTGTTACCCAGGCTGGAGTGTAGTGGCATGATCATAGCTCACTGCAGCTTTGAACTCTTGCCATTTTTGTATCCTTAAAATTTCCATGTCTCACTCTCTTGCTAACTCTTCTCTCTCATTTGGTCCCTTGATTCACTGTGAACTCAAACCCTGATAAAGCAGCTGATCAGTGAAATGTTTTTGGTTATTAAAGTAGAAATTAGAGGCAAAACAGTGACAGAGAGCCCTGGAATCTGATCCCTGGTAGGTGCTCCACAAATGTTTGTTGAACAAGTGAGTAAGTGGAGCCAGGTTGTCTGTGCCCTCATTTCAACGGTCTCACATGTGCTAGTTACATATATTTTTTTAAAGATCTCCCTGTGCCACAGTTTCCTCATCTGTAAAATGGGGAAGAATCATTATAGGCTTGTAAATGAAATGAATTAATACTTAGAAAATGCTTAAAATAGTCCTGGATCAAACTTAGCTTTCCGTAAATTGTAAGCTCTTATTTTCAAGCTGTCCAGACCAGAATACCTGAGGTGTAGACAAAACATTACGTTTTAAGAGGTTTGTTGGGGAAAGTATAGCTGGAGTTAAAAATTTAATCTCTTAGATATGTCGCTGCTCAAGCTACTAGTTTTCATTTTCACCTTTCCACCTAAATTGCCACTGCTTTGCTGAATTAGACACACTTGACCACCTTTCCTTCTTGGCCTAGTTTTTTTTCTAGGGTCTTCCATAACACCAAATATTTCTGGTTTTCCTCTTGCCTCATTAAACATCTCTTCTTAATCACCATTGTGAAATCCTTTTTGTTACCTGCCCTTACTTATTTTTTAACTTTCATTTTGAAATAATTACAAATTCACGAGAAATTACACTAATAATATAATGGGAGGGCCCAAGTATCTAGTGTCCCTAGTGGTAACATCTTGCATAGCTGTAGTTCAGTAGCAAAACCAGGAAAACTGCATTGGGATACTCTGCGGGGCTTATTAAGATGTCAACTGTTTTATTTGAACGTGTGTGTGTGTGTGTTGTGTGTGTTTGTATGTGTGTGTTCCTATGCAATTTTGTCATCTTTAGCTTTGTATAACCACCACTGAAACTGTTCCATTACCACATGGCTCCCTTGCGCTACCTCTTTATAGCTGCAGCTTCTAATTTGTTCTCTATTTCTGTAGTTTTATAATTCAAAAATGTTATTTACATGAATAGGTAACCTTTTGGCTTGGCTTTCCCCATTCAGCATGATTCTCATGAGATCCATCCACGTTGTTGAATTATCGATAGTCCATTCCTTGTTATTGCTGCATTGCATCCCCTGGTATAGATATACCATAGTTTGTTTAGCAGTTCACTCACTGAAGGGTGTTTGCATTCTTTCCACTTTTTGGCTGTTGCAAATAAAGTTGTTATGAACATTTGTGCACATGAACATATATTATGTGAACATAGGTTTTCATTTCTCTAGGATAAATGCCCAAGAGTGGAATTGTTAGGTCATATGTTAAGTGCACGTTTAGCTTTTTAAGAAACTGCCAAACTATTTTCCAGTGTGGCTTACCATTTTATATTCCCACAAGCAATGTATGAGTTGCATCATTTCTCCACAGCCTTGCCAGCATTTGCTGTTGTTTTTACGTTTCACTTTAGTCATCCTGATGGGTGTGTAGTAATATTGCATTGTGGTTTTAGTTTGCATTTCTCTACCAGCTAATGATGTGAAAACATCTTTTTGTGTACTTCCTTGCTATCTGTGTTATCTTCTTTGGTGTTATGTCTGTCTTTTGCCTTCTCATATAGTTTGGATATTTGTTGCTTCCAAATCTCATGTTGAAATTTGATCCCTGGTGTTAGTAGCAGGGCCTGGTAGGAGGTTTGGATCATGGGGAGGATGCCTCATAAATCATCCTTGTGGTAACAAGTTCTTGTTATATTATTATCATGAGCATAGACCATCCCCCCCTTTCTTCTTTTAACGTGTGATGCGTGCTCCCCTTTGCCTTCTGCCAAGAGTGGAAGCTTCCTGAGCCCTCACTGCAGATGCTGATACCATGTTTCTTGTACAGTCTGCAGAACTGTGAGCCAAATCAATTCTTTTCTTTATAAATTACCCAGCTTTCCTTTATCACAGAACAAATGGATGAAGACACTTTTTCTAATGGGATTATTATTTTACTGTTGAGTTTTAAGAGTCCTTTATATAGTCTAGATACTAGAGGTTTGCCAAATATGTGGTTTGTAAGTATTTTTTTCCAGTTTTAGCTTGTTTTTTCTATATCTTTGCTGGATGTATTAGTTTCCTATGGCCGCCATAACAAATTATCACAAATATGGTGGATAAAAACAATACAAGTTTATTTTTTTATAGTTCTGGAGGCCAGAAGTCTGAAATTTTAGTGAGCTCCAATCAAGGTTTTGGCAAGGCCAAATTTCTTCTGGAATCCTGCCTTTTCCAGGTTCTGAGGTGACATTTATGACCCATTCCTCCATCTTCAAAGCTAGCAGTATAGCATCTTCAAATCTCTTTCTCTTTCCATCATCACTTCACCTCTTCTGTGATGTTCTGTGTCAGACATCTGTCTTAGGAGAACATTTGTGATTATGTTTAGGGCCTACCAAGATAATTTGGGATAATCTCTCCATCTGAAGATCCTCAACAAATGTTTTTTGCATGAATAAATGATTTGTCTCATCTGTGCACCTGGATATCTGTGTAATTCTACACTTATTTTAAATAATATTCTTAGTATAAGAATTGCTGGAGCTACACTGATAGTTAGCATCTCCATCCTCCTTAACTGTCTGTCTTCCTCCTGGCTTTCCTCTCTATAGTAGCCTCTGGTGCATTTGTCTATAGTAAACAAACCACGAGACTCTTCAAGGCTTTTGAACTTGATAAACCAGACATGCTTTCACCACCATCACAGAGCTGGGACACAACCGGCCTGAGGATAGTCATGAAGCAGTCCTGAAGAATGCAGTCTTATTGCATCAGACACTGTCTCCTCACATCTCTCCACACCCCCATGTCTGACCCAACAACCAGATGGGGAAAAGTGAGGTCTAGTTTGCTCCTGCCATGGGCTTCTTCTTACTTTTGTAATGGCCAAATGAAAAATAAGTGTCAGTTGAGCATGGTTGGAGTAACTAAGGAAATCCTGTATGCATTATGATAGGAAGTTGTCACTAGTTAAATAAAGTAGAACTGGGAGTAAGAGACTAATGCAGGTGACAGAAGGCATTGTTTAACAATGCCTTCAACTTTGTGCTTTATTTGCCCTGTGATGTGTATAAGTACCTGCACTTAAATGAGAATCAAGTCTTCCAAAGTGTCTTCAGGGATGCCACAGTAAGGAATACCTTGCCTTTCTAGAAACAGCCATACAGCAGTTACATTCTTTTAACTGCATTGAGATGAAAACCACTGTACACTAGTCCGAAGATTATCCTCTTCCCTTATTCTGCTTCTCAGAGGCAGTATCAGGTTGTACCGAGGCATGACCTGCTTGCTTAAGCTCTCTGCCTGAAGGTAGAGTTCTTTAATTTTCCTATGGCTCAGAGCTGCCATAATGGAGCAAGAAGAAAAAGGAATTGCCTGTGATAAAGGAAACTTTGAGAATATAATAATTGGTTTGCCATTCCTGGGATGGTAGTCATGGAAGTGTTCCTAAACTTGTTTCTCTCACTGATTTTTTTCAGTTGAGGTATACTATATATACAGTGAGATGCACAAGTTGTAACTGTATCCTTCAATTCATTTTGAATAATGCGAACATCTCCATAATCTGTATCTTTATCAAGAACCAGAAAGTTTTCACCACCTCAGAAAATTTTTTGTGTCCTTCTCCAATCAATCTGTACATACCCCTCCATGAAGCAGCCACTGTTAAAGTTTGTCATTGTAGTTTAGTTTGATCTATTCTAGTACTTTGTGCGAAAGGAACCATATAGTAGGTGTGCTTTTATGTGTGACTTCTACTTAGCATGTCTATGAGACTCATCCATGTGTGGCAGTATTAGTAGTTCCTTTTTATTGCCAACTACTATTCCATTACATTAATAGGACACAGTTTGTTTATCCATTGTCTTGTTGATAGACACATGTGCCATTTCAGGTTTTAGCTGTTAACATTCTTTTTCAAGGTGTTAGTTCTTTTTTTTGAGCATTTTTTTTTTTTTTTGTAGATACATATTCCTTTCTTTTAAGTACTTAGGACTGGAATCTGGAATTTTGTTATAGACTGTGTATGTCTTTACTTTTTAAAGAAATTTCCAAAACGTTTCTCATAATGATTGTGCCACTCTACGTAGAGTACTTCTAAACTCTTACTGTCTCACATAGAGTAGAAGTTGTGGGACAGGGTGACATCCGGTCTGCTTACCTTTAGCTATTGGGACTCTAGAGGATAATTTCTATAATTTTTAGAGAAGCAAAGGAATTTCAATAAGGAAAGAATTCTAATAAAGGATTTATAAGTGTTATTTATTCCCCTACCTTTTTACAAATACATATTCTGTATCTGAAAAGGCACATAGACCCTGGCACTTTAAGAACAGTGGTCAGTAACAGTCTTCTTTGATCACATCTATTTGCAGTTAGAAGAAATCGGGCTCTGGACCTAGGGAGGGGATTTGTTCTTGAGTCTCCCTTAACATGGACACAACACAGAACACAGGCACTAAATGCCATAATGGAACTATATTCCAGAAAAGGGAAAGCTGCGCTTCTTTGTTTTAGTCTTTATACATATGTATCCTGTTCATGCTGCATCTTTCTTTCCCATACTCTTTTCAAGTATGGAGTATGACATCTTACATTTTCCACTTTGTGTTTCAGGCCAAAGAAGCCCTCGAAAATACTGAAGTTCCTGTTGGCTGCCTTATGGTCTACAACAGTGAAGTTGTGGGGAAGGGAAGAAATGAAGTTAACCAAACCAAAAATGTATGTGAGTTGAGCAGTGTAATTGCAAACATACAGTAGTGATGGGTAGACTGGAGGGAATTTACCACAGTTGGTATGAGGATGAGACTGAATATATTCCCATAGCTGCTGGTGGTGGGTAGCTTTTCTTAACATCTTTCTTTTTGAATACCATTTTCTTCCTGATTTTAAAAGTGATACATGTTGATTTTTTTTACTGTGGAAAATTCAGAACAATTTAATGAAGACATAAAATCTTAGTGAATAATTTTCTGTTTCACAGAGTTTTACTCTAATGCTTCAGTGAAACCCAAGAGGGGATTTTATTAGATCCGAGTGTCAGCATTGGAAGAAACAAGTCTATCTCTACTTTAAGCCAATCTAATATATGAAATTTTCACTTTATAAAAGAGGTCAATTTAATTCATAATGCATTTCTTTTTTATACCTTTAATATTTTCATTCTTGTAAATTAAAAAAATCATCCTCAATTTATAGCTTTGGAGGAAGGTATGAGGATTATATAAAGGAAGCTATTTCTGTATCAGATAATTCAACAAAATAGGGTGTTCCACACAAGCTGCCTCTGTAGCTACATGTAGTATGTGCATTTTAATAGCTTGTATGACTTTTATGGTGGTTAGGTTGGTTCAAGGTTCAAGGCAGTGCTTCTTAAATGTGGTATCATAACAGTGTGTCATGGTAAGTATATTTGGGAAATATAAGTAAACTACCAAATTTTACGATTACAAAAATTCCTAGGAGGACTCAAAGATCACTTACACCTGTAATGCCATTCACACAGACTTTGATCTTGTCATGTGATCTTGGGAGCCAGAGAATAAGCTGGTATTGATACCAGTGCTATGGGTACTTTAAAGTTCATCTATCAATTGCATCTATTGAAAAGAAAACTGATATTTAGCAAAACACATGTAACGTAGGAATTCAGATTCACAAAGGATTTATTTATTTATTTGTTTGCTTATTTTTGGCCATAAAACAGAACAGGATCATATTTTAATACATAACTTCCGGGCCGGGCGCAGTGGCTCAAGCCTGTAATCCCAGCACTTTGGGAGGCCGAGGCGGGTGGATCACGAGGTCGAGAGATCGAGACCATCCTGGTCAACATGGTGAAACCCCGTCTCTACTAAAAAGACAAAAAATTAGCTGGACATGGTGGCGCGTGCCTGTAATCCCAGCTACTCAGGAGGCTGAGGCAGGAGAATTGCCTGAGCCCAGGAGGCGGAGGTTGCGATGAGCCGAGATCGGGCCATTGCACTCCAGCCTGGGTAACAAGAGCAAAACTCTGTCACAAAAAAAAAAAAAAAAAAAAAACATAACTTCCGTAGAACCAAAAAATAAAACACCACAGTAGGATAAACAGGAATAAACATGGTATTTCATTTGCAATGCTTGACAAAATGTTAATATCTTAATCAGAAATGAGCTCTTAGAAATCAGTAATAAAGAGATTAATATTACAAGGAAAGGGAAAATAAAAGGAACAGAGGAAAATGAAATAAATAACCAATAAGCTATACGAAGAGTATCTAGCTTAACTTTAACAGGAGGAAAAAGCAATTTCTTTGTAACATTACATTACCGGCGATTACAAATACTGATGTCTAATGTTTGAACAGTTTTAGGAAATGGGAAACATTCAAACACTGGGAAACCTTGCTTTGATTATAGGAGATTTACTCAAAATGTAGATTTTGCATATACTTCGCCTGAGCAGTTCCAATCCATGGGAACTGCCCCAACAAAGTAGTTGGACAATGCAGATTTATACATAAGCATGTTCACTGCATAGGAAATCTGTAGTTAATATGTCAGCCTCCTAAAAAACTTGGGTATCAATTTGCTTATGAAAAATAGTAGATTGAAATGTGGAATTAGAAAGAAAAAACTCACTTAAATAAAAATACAGTATTTCTCAAAATTCTTTGTCCTTGGAATTCTTGAAAAAGACAACTTTTTAATGAATCAGTTTTAAATTTACCCTGTGATAAGTGAAAAGTATGAATATATGCATGTCATACTTTTTTTTACCTGTAGAAAGGTGTTTTTTTTTGAGATGGAGTCTTGCTCTGTCACCAGGCTGGAGTGCATGGCACAATCTCAGCTCACTGCAACCTCTGCATCCTGAGTTCAAGCAATTCTTCTGCCTCAGCCTTCAGAGCAGCTAGGACTACAGGCCCATGCCACCACGCTTGGCTAATTTTTGCAGTTTTAGTACAGATGGTTTCACCATGTTGATTGAGCAGGATGGTCTCGATCTCTTGACCTTATGATCCGCCCTCCTAGGCCTCCCAAAGTGCTGGGATTATAGGCGACAGCCACCTTGCCCCGCCCTGGAAATGCTTTAATAGAGGTGAACACGAAGCAAGAAGAGCAGCAAGTGCACACACAGACGTGGCTTTCACAAAACATATTGTAGGTACATGAAGAATTCATACTGCCCCAACCCTTCACCCACTAACAGAAAGCTCCAGACCCCTTCTCCTCATCCCACTCCTCAGACTCTTCCTCCTCCTCAGCAGTGGCATCCTGGTACTGTCGGTACTCAGATACCAGGTCGTTCATGTTGCTCTCGGCCTCAGTGAACTCCATCTCATCCTTGCCCTCCCTCGTGTACCAGTGCAGGAAGGCCTTGCGCCCCAACACGGCTGTGAACTGCTCCGAGATGTGCCTGAACAGCTCCTGGATGGCCATGTTATTACCGATGAAGGTGGTGAACATTTTTAGCCCCGGGGGTGGGATGTCCCAGAAAGCTGTTTTCACATTGTAGGGGATCTAGTCAGCAAAGCAGCTGCTGTTCTTGGTTTGAACATTAAGCATTTGCTCCTCCACCTCCCTCATGGACATGCCACCCCTGAAAATGGCAGCTTCTTCGAGGTAGAGGCCATATTGGGGGTCAGAGGCAGCCATCACGTTCTTGGCATCAAACATCTGCTGGGGGAGCTCAGCCACTGTCAGGGCCTTCTTTGTTGTTTAAATGCTGATTTTGAAATACCTTTCTAAAATTGCAAATACAAGCCAGTTGCAGTGGCTCACACCTGTAATCCCAGCACTTTGGGAGGCTGAGGTGGATGCATCACCTGAGGTCGAAAGTTTGAGACCAGCCTGACCAACATGGAGAAACCCCTTCTCTACTAAAAGTACAAAATTAGCCAGGCGTCATGGCCGCATGCCTGTAATCCCAGCTACTCAGAAGGCTGTGGCAGGAGATTGCTTGAACCCGGGAGGCTGAGGTTGCAGTGAGCCAAGATAGGGCCATTGCACTCCAGCTTGGGCAGCAAGAGAGAAACTGCATCTCAAAAAAAAAAAAAAAAAATTCAAATACAGAAAGTAGAAGCAGTTCTATTCTCATTTCTCTGTGTAGGACTATTAAAATTCACATATTCTTCCAGACAATTTCTTTTGGTATAAATCATATTTTAAAGTTTGTTATGTAACAATATATGAATATATATCGTCTTTTAATTTAACTCACATGTACAATGATTTCAAGCAACGTTAAAATAATTATCATTCTGTTAACATTGAGAAGTATTATTTAACTGTCAGAATAGTCATTTCCATGCAGAATTAACGTTTTTATAATTAGCCATTACCATTTCAGTTAGAAAAAGCAGAAGCATGTTCACATACCTCTGTAAACAATTAGCTGGTGTTTGTTGAAAAATGATGTAAGTTTAAATATCAATTTAAAATACTATAAAACATGCAAATTTTTTTTGAAAAAATGTTTTGAATAATTTAAAAAAATGTTTTAATTATATTCATGTTGAATCACAAAGCAATTATTAAGATATTAAAACATGAGATAAGTAATAAACAATACAGCAATTAATGAATGTATTAATGAATGTAGGAGTAGAATTCTGTATTTTAAATCGTGGTCATATTTTCTAATTTGCATTTTGTGTATGACATCTTCAAGATGAGAACTTTGACTATCCTAACAACATCCATCTAACCCCATCCAGTGACCTGGGTTTCTTCTATATGCTGAAATTAATCTGGGTTTATTTTGTTAGTATGTGTCATAAAGAAGATTATAACTACAGCATAGAGAGATGCTTGACCCCAAATAAGGACACCTGAGTTCTACTTTTGGATCTGATACCACCACCACCCAGTTACCACCACCACCTCCTCTCCCAGCTGTGTGTGATTAACACGTGCCAGCTTTACTTAGCTTCATTTTCTTTGAGTTGACTGAGATGATTGAGTTCAGCAATTGTTTATTGAGAGCTACAGGGAGATTTGGTTCCATCATTCTAAATCTGATTTTTTGAAAGCACCCAGGTTGGGGAAACCGTTTAAAAAAAACAAAAACAAAACAACTCTCCATTTAGTTTTGATGTGCAGCCAGGTTTGGGAACCTCTTCTCTAAAGGACCTTCTATCTATGGTAATTAATTCTGCGATTCATCCATGTAGCCTCTTTGCTGGCTTTGATCCCATCTGCCTGTAGCTTCCGTGGCATCTTGGGCCACTGTGGCAGCACTTTTCTTACCCTGCCCTATCTCACAGGTAAATGAGCCCCACTGAATTTTATGCTTGTTGAGGACAGAAACTTTTTATCCTACACAGAATTTATTTAGCCCAGTAGCTTATACATAGTTAGCACTGAGTGTAAATTATTGATAAATGCTATTGTCATGAATATTATAAATAATTTTTCCATATAGAATCTATGATTCACTTTAAGCTATTTAGTAAGGGAGAAAGGAGACAAGAGCTAGCGGAGTACGTATGTAGTATTTTGTGGCACCATGCTTCATGTAATTCAGATTTATAAGGTGTAAAACTGTAGATGCTACTGCATACCACTTTACATTTGGGGAATCCAAGACTTACAGAAGTTAAGTAACTTGCCTTAGTCCATATAATTAGTAATGTCACTGTCAAGATTCAAATTTAAATATTGTCAATTCCACATGCTTTGTGATTTCTTCTATCCTCTACTGCTTCCCATGAAGTGTCTGAAACCAGTACTAAGTCTCTACTTCTCTAGAGTCTTCCAGTATATAAAACCTCATTCCCCAAAAATGTAAGAATGACATCCCGGTAAACTTAATATAGATTTGCTTGGAGTGACGTCAGTGAAAGCCTTGAAAATATATTTGAAACTAGAGCACACGTTTATGAAAATTTTGCATCCCCTAAAATATTCAGAAACTATAGACTTTATCTTTTTTGTTGTTGTTGTTGGTTTGTTTTTCAGACTCACCTTCTCCATGGCATTTTAATTGAAAGAGTTTTCCCTAAGGTATTTAGGTACTTAACTGAAAATACAATATGATTCATATGGCATCTCTGATTATATACCTTTTGCTAGTGAGGTTATGATACTTGAACTGGGGAATACATTGTCAACTGCTGAGGGTGTCTTGGAACTGTATTCATTAAAATATTGGCAGAAAGAATAGGTGTATATTTTGTACTTATTTTTTGTATATTTGTAAAATAGTAGTTACATGAAGCAGACAACATCAGTGCAAGCCCCTTTCTCTTTTCAGGCTACTCGACATGCAGAAATGGTGGCCATCGATCAGGTCCTCGATTGGTGTCATCGAAGTGGCAAGAGTCCGTCTGAAGTGTTTGAACACACTGTGTTGTATGTCACTGTGGAGCCGTGCATTATGTGTGCAGCTGCTCTCCGCCTGATGAGTATCCTTTGACTTCATGAGTTAATGTCTTGTACCATTCATGTGAACAAGAGAGTGGCCAAACACATAGCTGGTTTTCCAAAATATGAAAACACAGACTTAGGAAACACCTTGTAAAATATAGCGTCTCTTTGCCAAAAACAGGAAAGCTGCTTAAAAAGTAAAATTACCTATTTCTTTTCATATCAATAAACATAGAATGATTAAACAGTCTAGAGAAAGAAAATATTAAAACTCTCTTAGACAGTTATGTAAAGATAAATCATAATAAGTTGAAGTGGATTATAAAACAGTTTGTAAAGGAAATGTCCTAAAGAATATGCAGCTAAGTTTTGCCTTTGGATAATGGATTATGGGTGATTTAAAATTTTTCTTTCTCTGTTTATCTGTTGGTTGTTTGCCATGGATGCCTATTACAATGTATCAAACATCATAAGTAAAAACTAAATAAGACATAAAAAATCCTTTAGATATTCTAATTGCAAATAGAAAGGGAGTAAAGTTACAGCTCTTTGGATTGTCTTGCATGGAGTAAGCAACATAAATAATGAGTGTAGAGACTCTGTAGGGGCTTCTACAGATCTTTTTAAAAATTATTTGAAAATTGAAAAACTCAGCTTTTTGGTTGCTTATTTTTTATGTACTTATTTTACTACACATAGATGAATAATTTTATCACTTTAAAAATAATACAGAGGTTTTGGGTTTGATAAAATGTACAGTCTCTATAAAAGGTTGTACGGTAAACTTAGAATTCTCTCCTCACCCTGCCTTACAGAGTGACTAAGCTTTAGTTTGTTTTGTGTTAGGGCACAGGTTATATTTTATTTGGGGTAAGAACAGGGATGAATATGTTATTTTTAAAAGGTGAAAATCCCTGGATTAAATTTCTGCATCCTTTCTGGCTCTGACTCCCTAATGATTCTGAAAAAGTGATTTAGGAAAGAGCAGAGAGAGCCCTTAATTGTGAACATTAAGCAACCACATACTCAGTTTTCATTCTGTCTGCAGTTGTTAAATGTCAGTTTCTCAATACTTTAAACCCCTTTTCTTCTGTGTAACTGGATTGTATGGTTTGTAAGACTAATCCTAAGCTTCAGCTTCATTGTTTTGAAGAGTAGCATGAGCTTTCCTCTCCAGGATGGCTAGTATAAACCTACTCTGATTTTGTCGTGATACATACTTAAACTGTACATTCTGTGCAGGACCTTAATTCTGTCTTATAAATCCCGCTGGTTGTATATGGCTGTCAGAATGAACGATTTGGTGGTTGTGGCTCTGTTCTAAATATTGCCTCTGCTGACTTACCAAATACTGGGAGACCATTTCAGGTAATACAGTCTGGTTATGCTTTTTCTTTCTTTCTAATTATTTTCATCTCTTTATGGGCTTATGAATAATTAGTGTATGGCCAGGATACAGAAAAATCATGATAAAATCAGACATCTTGGATCTCAGGGCCTCTGGTGGAGTTCATTTATGCCTCTGTATAAGACGACAGTGAAGAGTTTCTAGATGAGTGCCTACCTTTCTTCATTCGCAGACTCCCTCCTGAAGGAGAGTCCCCAACCTTCCTAGCTGACTCCACCCATTCTTCACCAACACCTTTAGGTATACTTGAAGACACTCTCGCGGTTGGAGTTTTTATTCAATGAATGTTACCAGCTCTATGCTATACCAAATTTGGTGATGCTTGGCCTGTGTCAGTGACGGTAGATACTATTTACAACACACACAATATTTTTGCACAAATTTAATCATTTTGCTTGATTGCCACATTCTACTTTTAGTATCTAGCAATCACTGTATTTTCATGGTTTTTTTTCTTTCCTGTCTTTTTAATGTTGAAATTTCCCCCAGACCGAAGAATCCATGTCTTTTAGTCTGTTAGAAATTCCCCTTTCCCTTTAGCCTTGCCACTTCTCCCAAAGTTTTTTATGAGTCAGACTATAAGCAACAGGAATTTGTATTTCAAAGTTTGGCCTGTAAATATACCTCTGCTTTCATTAACTGGTTTGATTGTTTTTCTCTCCAAGATGCAAGGTTAATGTAAAAGTATTATGCTTTAAAAAGAAAAGATTTAACAAATGCTGGATATGGGTGGGGAGTTCACTTTAAAAACCTCAGGTATTTCTAGATACTTTAAGGACCTACGAAGGACTAAATGTGGCTGAGTCTCACCGCGAATGAGCTTTTAGAACGTTCTTGAGTTTTCTAGCTGAACATTAGCTTTCCTGTCAACTTCTGTACATTTGAGGATAGATACTGTTTAACATTACATCAGAAAAGAAATTGTAGTGCAGTGATGGAGAGTGAAGGATGCAACTGGCTTCATCATTAAAGACATTAACAAAGTGAGTTGATTTTTTCAGTCACTTCTATTAGTAGCTCAAATTTTGCTTATATAATTCTTTGCAAATGAATTGCTGACTCTAATGCCATTATGAGAATGATCTAAAGAATTTTTCAGTTTCATGGTGAAACCCTGTCCCTACTAAAAATACAAAACTTAGCTGGGCATGTTGGTGTGCACCTGTAGTCCCATCTACTTGGGAGGCTGAGGCAGGAGAATTGTTTGAACCTGGGAGGCAGAGGTTGCAGTGAGCTGAGATCATGCCAGTGCGCTTCATTCTGGTGACAGAGCGAGACTCTGTCTCGAAAAAAAAAAAAAAATTCGGTTTCTGGGGAGAGCAAAGATGAGCCCTTTGATGTCAGACATGGGTGGAATATTCCTCTCCAATGTGTCAGTGACATGAGGGCACAAACACAGTCCCTTCTTACACATCTCTGTGGTTGATGCAGCAGAACCAAAGCAAGTTCATTTGCAGTGTGTATACCTGGCCACATCAGTTCAGCTGCCAATCAGTGCCTATGGCTTGCAGCCATATCTCCAGGCTTAATGCCAAATTATGTTTTTTTTTTTTTTTTTTTTTTTTTTTTAAAGTTGCTTTTAGATTCTAAAGAAAACAGTGGTGCCCCAGGCTCTGAGTGCTGGGTATTCTTTTTTTTTATTTGGCTGGGCTTGGGAGGCAGCAGGTGATTGGGAGGTAGGATACTGTTTCTTATTGTAGAATTACAGATTCTTTTCATGCTGTATTATAAGGAGCATTAAAATATGTAGAGGCCTACAGAACTATTCAAAGAAGATGGTGATTATAATACCTGTTATATTTTTTAAATTTTTATTTTATTACAAATGTGTGCTTTTTATTAACGTCACAAATTTGTTGCTATAATGGATACTTGAAAATATTATCTTGGTGTGTTAGAGTGGTGCAGTTTCCGGCAAGGCCTGTAACTCAGTGGTTCTCATCCCTAAATGCCTATTAGAATCACCTGGAGAGCTTCAGTGCCTGCCTGTGCTCAGGCCCTGCCCCAGACCATCCGAATTAGAAGGCAGGGGGCCAACAGTTCTGTGTTTCCAGCAAGCTCCAAGCAGTTCTCCTGAGCAGCCATGGTTGAGAACCACTGCCCTCACCCCACTTGAGAGGATAGGGCTCTGAGTGTGTGAGTGGCGTGGAGGGTGACCCCTGGGGAGCTCCAGCACTTACGCAGCAGGAAGCAGAGGGCAGCTGTGACGGGACTGGCTGAAAGTGGTTAGCATGGTGAGATGCTGAGAAGCCAAGGGAGGCGAGAGCAGTCAGACAGCAGGTGTGACCCATTGCCTCTAGGACTGCAGAGTCCAGGAAGCTGAAGCCCCGTGCTTTGGACAGTAGGGGCCTGGGGATTTCTGAGAGAGCAGACTCAGTGAAGTGCTGGGAATGCAAGCCAGTGACGACAAGGCCACTGAGGAAGTGAGAGCATGAGTGAAGGCAGGAACAGGGTGGCAGCCCTCAACAGGGCAGGGTGGATGGAAGGTTATTTGTTATGGTGAAGGTTTATGCAGGCGTGGGAGGCCCAGGCAAGGGCACACTGAAGACAGGAGAATGGGAGGATCGTTCTGAACAGCATCCCACAGTAGTTGGTCCTCCTGTCCTCTGTGGCTGTGCTTTCGGGCGCCTTCCTTCCAGATGCTCATTGTGTCATTTCATGCACTTTAGAAGGGTGCATGGTTTTAAGTCCAAACTCTTCTGACAAGGTTTTAAAGCCGTCCATATTTTTTTTACCCCATTTTATGTCTTTCTTTCCTTATGCTTCCTTAATAATCACCTCCTCCTCTATCAGCTGATTTCCTTACACACAGCCCAGACTGCTCCTTGCCCTTTCCCTGAAAGGCTCTGCTTAGCCTCTTTAAACATTCTCTATCTCTAAGGCAAGTTCATCTTCTTCAGGTAATATTTCATATGATAACACTCCTTACTGATATCACGATTTCTTATTTATTCTTTCATATGCTATAATTTCTTTTCCCCAGTTATATGCTAATGATAGATCCAGCAGAATTTTATTTTTTTAAATCCTCTGTAGCAAGGGTTGACAAACTTTTTCTGCAAAGGGTTAGCTAGTGTATATTTCATCCTTTGTGAGCCACTTAATGTCTCTTGTCACCTAATCTTTTTTTTTAAACAAAGCTTTTAAAATATAAAATCATTCTTAGTTCACAGTTCTCAGCTGTGGACCAGATTTTGTCCACCAAGTATAATTTGCCAGCCGTAGCTTGATAGCATCAAATGCTTAATGGGCCACTGGTAAATAGGAGCAGATGAAAATAACTCATGCTCAATGAGCACTTATGATGGGCCAGGTATTTGGGAGGTATTATCTCACTTAATCCTCACAAAACCCTCAGAAATAAGTGCTATTACTGCCAACATTTTGTAGACAAGGCATGGAGAGTTTAAGAGCCTAGCCCAGGATCACAAAGCTGGTACCTTCTGCAGCAGTGTATGGATGAATACTAGCTGACTGGGAGTGGTGCCGCACTGAGGCCATATGTCAGGCATCTTTTGGAAGTGTACCTCCTTGCCCATGCTACTGATGTCCCCAAAGTTCATTCACATCTGAAATCTGTTTATATAGTTATGCATACATTATTGTTATTATGGGATACGACACACATTTGCATGGGCCTGTGTTCATTCCCCACTTTCTCATCAGTGCATCCCTGGATATCGGGCTGAGGAAGCAGTGGAAATGTTGAAGACCTTCTACAAACAAGAAAATCCAAATGGTCAGTCAGTTTTCTATTGTAGATAATATACCTCCCTTAAATCCATACAAGGAGAGTCTGATATGAGCTTACCTCTTCACTTTCTTTTTCTTTTCTTTTCTTTTCACAGCACCAAAATCGAAAGTTCGGAAAAAGGAATGTCAGAAATCTTGAACTTGTTCTGATGAAAGAACCAAGTGACCCAAAGTGATCTGGACAAGATTCCTAGATCGAGAGCTATTGACATCGTTGAATCACGTTTATATATTGTTTTTAATCTGTGGGAAAATGGTGTCTCTCATCATTTGCTCTGTTAAGGGAACAAATTAGCACTTTTTAGAAGCCTGACAATTGTAAACAATTATTAGCTTTTCCACAAGCTGATTCCCATCTTAGGATGGGGGAAAATTAAGGTTTGAGGTTTTAGAAATTAGCAAGTAGTACGTTCCCTTCCAGCCACAACATTGTGCCTGGTCCAGGAAAGTGCTGACTTTTTAGAGAATGTGTGGCCAGACCCAGGTAACCTGGCGTGTGTCTGGACTGCAATGTGCCACCCTGAGGACACCTCCAGGACTGGCATTTCACATTTTTTGCAGCTACTATGTTCTCGCAGGGCACTGGGGGCTGTGACTTCTGTATAAATTGTATACGAGTTGTGTATATATAGACCATAGTTATATGATCCTTAGAAAAGACTTTGCTTTTATAAAGCATTTAGAGAAAATGCACACTTTTAAAACAAGTGCTTGAGTTGTCATTTAAAAATTGTAGCATATTGCTATAATAAAACCTTATTTATGTCTTCTTCGAAGATGAATAGTCTTAAAAGATATTCTCCATAAATGGGAGAATGGTTATTGAGCAAAAAAACAAATGATCCCGCCCTCGTAGAGCTGATATTCTAGCAAGGGGAGATGGATATAATAGATTACACAGTTTATTGGAGGACAATAACAGTTACTGCAAAAAGCAAAAGGAACACAGGGTAAATGGGATAGGTGTGCCAGTTGGTGGTGAGAATGCTGGCTGAAAAACAGAATGGTCAATTTAATCTGAAACCAAATAGTTAATGTCTTTAAAAATCCATATAATAAATTTAAAAGTTGAAATCTAAAATGTAAAACTCTGAACACAACACTGGAAAGGGTACCCACAGCAGAACTCCCCAGTTCACCTCCCTGACTGCAGGGCAGCTTTGCACAGCCGCACTGGGCGTACTGTGTGCCTCTGCCCAGAAGGGGGCCTCGCCGTTCCACCAGAAGCCCAGCTCCAGACTCTGGCGGGGCTGCTGCTCCTCTGTTGCATTTCTTCCGTGGATTCATTTCCTTGATGCAAAGCATCTGTATTTGGTGGTTCTGCCATTTGAGCGATGTCTCTGACTTGTTTGTTTGAATTACATTACAGGCTGGAATGTAATTGTGGTGAAGTATTTTTATATTGCTGAGAGTAGCAGCTAATCACAGTTACATGCTTCAGAGAATTTATAATTGCTTGGTTTTGTGTGTGTGTGTTTTTAACTGCATTTGAGAAGTTTTATGGAGAAGAATATGCATGATTTTAAATCTAAAATAATGTTACATGCACCTTCAATTTCATCCACTTTAAAAATGATCTTCTCATTAAATTTTAGTGCTTTGACTAGTTTGTTCCTTTTTGTAGTTCCTCGTAATTTGTTTCTGGCTTCTTTTGCTTTTCTGTAAGCAGATTTCATTGCACTTGTTGTGTTCATATCATTTTCTTGGAGATTATTTGCAGGACAACCAATCTGAAGTCTTGCTTCTGTAGAGTACCACCCAGTAAGTCTGGCTGAACATCTTATGTCCAGTAGATTCATGGTAAACATTTGCTAAATGAAATGACTGATTGAAATTTGGGGAACAGTGAATAATAAGACTATGTAGGACAAAAAGCCAAAGCTGAAAATAGTCTATGAGTATTCTAGCCCAGAGATGATCGCTACTAAAAGAATCAAGGAAATTATAAAATGATAGACAGGGAAGGATAGAAAAGACTTAACAATATACATATGTTCTGTCTTTGCTGTTTTGGAGAATGGTGGATAAGTGGTGTTTCCTGATTCTAAAGTGTGGCTGAACAATTTAATTGTGGTTTACCATCTTTTTGGTTCCCTCCCTAGTGACTGACTTATCAAAAAGTCTCTCCTGAATTTTTGAACTGGAGCACAGTTCCCTCTATCACTCTGGGGGAAAATCATTAATATGGCATACTGCAGATCAGAGGGCAGGACCATTGAGGGTGCCATAGACATTATATCTGTGGAATTCTGCTAACAATTTCCAAGTGATGATGAAAAATCGTGAATATATGATGAGCTCATCCAGCTTCCTGAGTACCCCATTCCCCAGCTACTTAGACATGGATTAAAATACTAAGATGTCCTAGTTCAAAAGCTTGAATTCAATTGATTGATACTGATAGTGCCTGTCCAAGAGACCAGCTGAAAGACTTGTTTTGTATATGAAATAGTTCTGAAAGTTGTGAGATAAAAAACGGTTTTACAATCACTGCCCTGTTTAGCTAAATCAGGGGAAATGATTACATTTAGAAGCTGCTAGAGTTATCCAATGTTTGCTGGTCTTTGCAACAAACTGTGGAGAATGGGTGGTATGTAATGCCTTGGCAGGCTTCAATCACTGATAAAATATCATGTTAAAATATCTTAGTGCTTTCTTGTTACTTGGCACAGCCGTCTCATCCTGTGTTGTATTTGGAATATCATAGAGAGAAAATAGATGGCCAAGAACTTCAGTGTAGGCAAGAACTCTTGATTTTTCTTTAAACTTTTTATTGGGAAAGTTTACATATAGACTTTCCCAATAAAAAGTTTAAAGAAAAGAAAATAGATGCCTTTTACCCCAAAATGCTTCAGTGTTTTATAAGCATAGGATATTTTCTTACATAATCACAATACAGTTATTGACTTAAGTAAATTCAACATTGATATACTTGAATCCATTTGGATTCCAGTTCTATCAACTGAACAAATAATGTCCTTTAAAGAAGTGTTCCCACTGCCCTACAATCCCAGATCCGGTCTAGGGTCCAGTGTTACATTTTCTTAAATCCAGCTTCCTGTTTTTGGAGATAGGGCTCACTCTGTCGCCTGGTGGCATGATCACAGCTCACTGTAGCCTCAACCTGGTTCAAGCAATCCTCCGTCATCAGCCTCCTGAGTAGCTGGGACCACAGACTCATGTCACCACACCTAACTTTTTTTTTTTTTTTTTTTTGTAGAGACAAAGTCTCCCTATGTTGCCCAGGCTGATCTCAAACTCCTAGGCTGAAGGGATCCTCCTTCCTTGGTCTCCCAAAGCACTGGGATTATGGGCGGGAGCCACTGCACCTGGCTGCCTTTAGCTTCTTTTCATCTGGAACATTTCCATGGGCTTTCTTTGTCTTTTGTCAATTGACATTTTTAAATAATACAGTCATTTTGCCTCCTCTACATTTTCTTCTTCTTTTTTAAATAATAGAATGGTCCTTGTTTTAAATATATTTGGTGTTTTCTCATGATTAGATTCAGGTCATACATTCTGGGTGATGTTAAGTTCCTCACAGGATATCACATCTGAAGGCACAAAAAGGCCATCACACAAAGGTGATGTCAATTTTGGTCATCTGGTCAAGGTGTGTTCCTGTTTCTTCACTATATAATTAGTTTTTTCTCTTGCAATGAATAAGCAGTCTGTGGGAAGAGAAGCTGTTACATTTTAAACAGAAAATGTATTTGACACTGATGGAAAGGAGAGGAGGAAAATTAATGACATAAATTTCAAATCAGCTATGAAATTATTTGATTGCATTCCTCCTCTTTTACTATGTTTGCCAAAATTGATAAAAAATGTTTCTAATAAGAATATTTTAAATAATGATGTCTCAATAAGCATTAGAATTAAGCCTGAGAAATAAATCCTTTCCTTCCTAACTTCCTCCTCAGCAAAAGTTATAATTATATAAATTTCATTAAGCCTGGTAAGATAGGGTTTTGGAAAAATAGACCTCAGATGTTTCTGATATTGCCGATGACCTATGGTGATCCAATGGGCTAAAGACTCTAGGCAGGTTGTTGTTTGGCCATAAAATATGAGTTATCTTGGGTTTCCATAGAGACATCTAGACTTAAAATGTTGTAAGCACTGCTACTTTCAAAACGTCAGTAAAAATAGCAAAAGCCGAAGCTCTTGAAAAAATTACTTAAATCTTTTTTAAAAGTAGTATAGTGCCTTGTTAAAAATCTGTGATGAAGCCAAAGCTCGCCTTTCCCAGCGGTCCTACATTAACCGGCCTTGACTAGCCCCAGGGAAAAGAGGAACAGGAACTGGTTTCTTGGCCTTTTGTCAAAGGAATAAGACTACATTGACTTAATCTATGAAGACAACCGCCAACTATTTCCTTTGTAAATTGCTAATTTTATTTAGTGAGGAAAGGAGTGAGGGGTGGTTATTTTTATGGGTAAGACTGGTGTAAGTTCTGCTGAAAGTTTGACACCTTTAGGATCTTACATTTTCTTCAAGTGGAGCTAATAAAAACAGGTTTTTTAAGTGGATATTGAGTTGAACACCACGTATCCATGATTATTAAGGACCCTTTGTGGTGCAGTTTGACAAAGGCTCTCTCCTTAACCAAACTTTGGTCAAGTCCTGAGTCCTCTTCTCACCCAGGCCTCCACCTTGGTCCCCATTCTTGCTAGGCTTATAGAGCCCAGTTTTAGCAAGAATCCTGCAAAGTCAGTTTAGAGAGAATCCTCCATCTTTAATATCTATGAAAGTTCTCATCCCTTACTTTTGATGTCTAAGAACTTGGCCTCCCTTCAACGAGAAACTGTTAAGTTCCTTTTGCAAGAACTCCCCTACTCTTGATAGCTCCTCTTAGTAATTTTCTAATCACTGACCCCCTCACTCTGCCTATTAGTTATAAACCCAGACATGTTCTGGTTTTATTCAGAGTTGAGCCCAATCTCTCTCCTGTGCTGTGATAGTTTTAAAACCTATCACCATAGTCCTGAATAAAGTCTTTGTACCTTAACAAGTGTCAGAATAGATTTTTCTTTAACAAGTTGAAGCATGAACTTGAGAATCTAGAGCAGGAGTCCACAAAAGTATGGCCCCTGGGCCATATTCAGCCCACTGCCTGTTTTGGTACCACTCGTGACTTAAAAATAAGTTTTACAATTCTGAGTGATTGAAAAAAATCAAAAGAAGGGTAATATTTAGTGACCCATGAACCTTTTATGGCAATCAAATTTCGGTGTCCGTAAATGAAGCTACACTGGATTACAGCCATGCCCATTTGTTTCTGTGTTGTCTGTGGCTGCTCTTGTTCTACAATGGCAGGGTTGAGCAGTGGTGACGAACCATGTGGCTCACAAAGCCTAAAATATTTAGCATCTGGCCCTTCGAGAAAATGTTAGCTGCCCCTGGTCTAGAGTAGGTAAAAGGCTGAGGTTGGAAGCTGCTTGTTCAAATTCTGTAACTTTGAAGCCGAATAATATGGCTCATTGTGCAACTCATTGTGAATGGTTTCAGTACTATGGTTTTGTTTTTCCTTTTTAAAAGTTGGTTTATAAATGTAAGGGAAAAATCTAAGACACCAAAATATGTTTTCTGGGTTGGAATGTTTTATTTCCTTATATACAATTTTAAGAGAGTGGCAAGGAGAAAAGATAATGTACCATTTTATTTGGGTTTAGAGTAAATAATACATTTTATTTATGATCACCATATTTAAAATATTATTTTCTGTTTTACCTCAAGGAAGCTGAGGCACAGGGAGATTATGTAACTTGCCCAGGATCACAGAGTGCTAAGCGATCACATCACTCTGAAGGAGCTAGTTAAACCAATGTAACAGCCTTCAAGTTGTAGTGGCTTAGAACAAAGGCTTGTTTTTCTCATGTCTTGCTTGTTGTCCATCTCAGGTCAGACCAAGAGCCTGGCTAAAGGAAACTCCACCACCAGGAACATCAGCTGCTGTGGCCAGAGAAGAGAACATGGTGAATAATGCTTTACACCTTAGGGCAGGGCTTCAAAGACGTAAGCATAGGCATCTCCTGGGAAGCTTATTAAATCCACATTCTGATTCAGGAGGTCCTAGAGGTGCCTGAGGTGCCACGTTTCTATCAGCCTTCTAGACGATGCCTGTACTACTGGACCATGGGCCACACTTTGAGTAAGGAGGGCTTCCTGGATTTTGCCCAGAAGCAACAAATCACTTTTGCCCTCAAAAGAATTAAAGCAAGTCACATGACCATGCCCAACTTCAAGGTAGCAGATAGTGTAATCCATCATCTACATCAGGAAGAAGAGAACTGAAATTTCTGTGAACAGCTCCAATGAAGAGCAAACAATGTGAAGCTAGGATCTGAATTCGGGCAGGCTTGCTTCAGAGTCCATGTTCTTAATTATCACTGTATACAGTCATGGGTATTGGTCCATTCTCTATAAAGAGAATGTCTGCCAGGCAGACAGCCAGTTGGGGAGTTAGGGTTGACTTGTGTGACTCCACACTGGGTGACTCAGGTAGCTTTAGTGTTCAATGCAGCAGTTCTTGGCATGGTGCTGCCACTCTGAAGTGTTTCAATTCATTTTTCATCTTGATAAA